ATTGTAGTGTTTTGTTATCGCAGCTCAAACTGACTAAACCTAACATGATGTATTGCGTAATAAGAATTGAGATAGTGTGAGGTTTTATGCTAATCTAGCTAAGATTGTCCTGTATTTATGTTTTCCATGGCTATGAGTGCCAGAGTCTTCAAATTTCTCTAGTGTCTTTGTTTTTGTCTCATTTGTTGACTTTGGCTTCTGTAACTACTTCTCTTCAGGGAGTCTACATCTTGCAGCAATTTTAGCTAGAATGAGCTGTTAATATTGGAACCCTACTGGTATAGTGGCAAATTGTGGGAGACGGGAAACCTTCTAAAAATCTTATGATGCAGTCTCAGTTCTTTGTCACTGGGCTGTGACCTTTACACAAATTTCTTAGCTTCTTTCCACCCCTTAAGTAAGACAGAAAAGCTAGAGGGGACTGAAGTGGGAGAAATGCCCTTCCCACAGATGGTATAAATTTCCACTAACCTCTGTTCCATGGAGAGTGGGCTTTTAGGGAGAATGCTCTGGACATATTTTCAGGGGTTATTCTCCCCAGAAAGAACTCGAAGGAGATCATTCTTGGATCTTCACCATATGAACCTGGTAGATTTCCTGAAGGTAAAATCCATGAAAGTGTGAGGTCTACCCAAGGCTGTGATCTTACTAGTTTCTTACATGATGCTAGTCTATACTCAAACTCCAGCAATTCATTAAAATTACTACTTAAGTGTTCCTATCAGTTGATCTCTTCAGTGGTGTCTGCCCTGGGTAAACTGATTTTGGCTCTGACTTTAGGTTTACTATTTATATACTTCAGGATTGCTGTTTTCCTTGCAACCTTGTTTTCTTGCCCTGGGTCCATAAAAACCACAGATTACCAGTTTGCTTAGCTTTCCTTGTGGTAAAGATTGAAATGGTAATTTCCAAGGTCTTTAAAAGTTGGAGTTGAAACAGATAACATGCCAATTCTATTTTAAGAAGCTTCCTTTAATTCTTAGCTATTTTTTAAATGAAAAAAAATCGTTACCAAGGGCTTTTTATAATTTGAAATAATTATATAATATTTTTCCTTTAAAGCTTCTTATGATGAATTACATGATTTTTCCGATTTTTGAAAATGCAGCCTTGCATTTTTTATGAACCCTACACAATTATGATAAATTTTGTTTAATAATGGTTCAGTTGTATAATATTTATAATTATTTCTTCTATGTTTTTTAGTAAATGGGTCTATGATTTTCATCTTCCTTTTTGTTCATAAGCAAAGTGTGTGTACATTGTCCTTACCTAATTTGGAAACAGGTTTATAATAATTTTATAAACTGTACTTGTTAGATTTGGATTTTTTCAAATTTATAGAATAAATATGTAATTTGGGAATTAACTGTTCCTTGCAAATGTGGTAAAAATTTGCATCTTTGTAATACTAAGCTGTAAGGTTTAATTGTAAGTTAATTGGTCCAGTGATTATAGCCCTAACCCCTCCTTCCTCTTGCTCCTGTGAACCACATCTTAAGAAAATGTACTAGGAAATCACTTAATTGTTTCCAGGAGTTGGTTTGAGAATACCATGAAAAGCTGGCACATTTATTCCTAGGAGTGATATTCCAAATATATAAATAAATCCAGTGTCTGGTAAGGTGGATTTGTAAGATCTGCCTATGTCATGTGATTTTCTAATTGCCCAAGAAATCCATGTAGGTTTTGTAGGACAATTACATTACACAGTGAATTATAATGATTTTAAATGCTATATGTGAGCTATTATGATAGGTTTTTTCACACATATTATCTATTTTAGTCTTTTAAAAAATCTTTTTGTAGTAGGAATTATCAGCCACATTGTCACATGTAAAAAAAGTTAAGATTTACAGAATTCAGTAATTTTGCTAATTCTATATAAACAATTAGTTATGCAGCCAAGATTCAGAGTTATTTCTCCAAAGTCTGTATTCAATGTCTTTCTATGCTACATACGTAAGCTAGTACTAGAATAACTTACAATGATCCTATTTTTCTATCTCAAACCTCTGTTTCAAATATGACTGCTTAGATTATTTAGAAACCCTTAATAACTCTGGAAGAAATCATTTTCCTCTTTTTTCTGTGTATATAGAAGAGCACTGTCTGTTAGAGCAGCCATCTGAGCCTCTTATTGGCCATGTGACTCAGGACAAATTCCTAATGCTTAGTGTTCTCAAAGGTAAAAGAGGAAGAATAATATAAGTATCTACCAATAGGTTAACTGTGAGGATTAAATAAAAATATTCATATAACTACTTTGTGTAGGGCTTGCATGTATAGAACATCACACTGTAATTGTTAGTCATTACTGAAATTAATAATAATCCATTTCAGGCTACTAGACAGGGCTCCTAGCCCTGTTATATCACTACTAGGACTCTCTTATGTGACTAAATGAAACATTATCTAAATTCCTTGTGTACAGGAAAATTATTTTGTTTTTACATTGTAACTGTGGAACACACGATTTGGCAGATTGTAGGGAACCAACATATAGGTGGGTTGCATATGCATGAACAAAGCTGCATAAGCATGTAATGTAATAATGTTAACAGAATGGTTGTATTCAGGAATACTAAAGTTGTCCTTGATAAAAAAAAAAAAAAGTTTAAGTGTAGATAATTCTTCTGAATGAATGCAACCCTATTAATTTTAAATCTTATATTGAGTTGCTTTTTTTAACCTGCCCCAAAGCATGGGGGAAGGTCTTTCAACATAAGAAATTTCAGTGGAAAATTGAGAATCTATTATTACTAATATAAACTTTAAGGCTTTCATTCACACATTGAGAAAAAGCTTAATAGGAGGTAATTTATAAGACTGCTGTATCATTAAGGAAATATTGGAGAGAAATAATTGGAACATCTTGACTCTTTACATTACAATATAATAAAAAAAATAGCAAAGACTTCAGGCATTTGTGTTTATTCCTGTTTTCTATATGACATATTTCTCAAATGTTAAGCATGTGACGTTTTTCTGCCATCTCTATTACCAAATCTGGTAAGAGACAGTGGTTTCTGTTCACCATAACATATTAGTATTAAAAGTCAATAAATTTTTGACTTTTAGCAAGCATTCCAATGAATTTTGCTTTTAACAGATAATTAAGTAGCACAGCACAGGAAGCCTGTGTTGTGTATGTATGTGTATGTGTTAAATATACTAAAAAAATAAAGTTCTGTGAAAGCTTGAAATCTTTTTTAAACATGTAGCAAACTCATGCTAGATAAAACTTGATATAGTAGCCAAAGAACCTGACATTAAAGATAAAATTTCCTGTGTTTAAAACTATTTTTAACAATCCAGGAATTTCAAAGTCTTTGTATAAATTCATCCATTATCAAAGCAATGTTTGGAACATGGGATCATAAAAAAAAAATCAATGAAGAATCTGAAACTTCCAGAGATTATAATAGAATTTCTAATGATAATTTGCTGGAGATTTCTCTCAAAGAAGGGTTTTTTGTTGTTGTTGTTGGTGGTGGTGGTGGTGGTTGTTTTAATCATCATTCTCACCACCACCACCACCACCACCACCATCATAATCATCATCATCATCAGTGCTCTTGGGGTGATAGGCTTTGACAGAGGCAAATACTACAAGGAATTCTCACCTAGTAAGAAGCAATCCTTCAATACATTCTTTGAAATATTTAAATTTGTAGTTTTTAGCAACATGGAAATATGTTCACCAAAAAATATTCTAATATAGGAACTTTTAAAAACAGTGATAACGGCTAGTAAAAAGGTGCTATAGTTTTATCACATTTACTAATGTTAAATGTTATTTGGATTTAAAAGCTGTTTGGACACACTTTTGAGTCATCCGTTTGTGTGATGATAAACCACTTAACCTCTGACCTAATGTATCAATTATAGACCCTTTAAAATCAGCCATTTAGTTGAAATATGGCACCAGTTTAATGAATTTCCAGGACATGATTACATTTCACTGTTCGCCGGAATTTGAGACTGGATTTATATGTATATATTTTTTTTTTCAAAATCCAGCACTCCTTTGAGAGAAAAAATAAAATGCAGAGGGCAAACTGTGGTATAAGAGTTAAGAATACCTTAAATATGGTTGCTATTTAAAAGTTAAACTTAATTTAAATCTTCCCTTTTTCGTATAAGAACCCATGAAGGAAAGAACAAAGTTAACTCAAATCCTAGCAGTGAATCACAGCATGTAAAAACATCTTCTAATACCATTTTATTTTGGTTCTGGTTTTGTTTGGTCATATGATTACTAGTGCATTATAAGTAATGCCTTTAAATAAATCAATAATCTCCTATTGTGAAATTCTGGGTGGATACCTATAAATAAAACTGAAGCACTACCCTTGGCTAAATTATTATCTTAAGCTAACTTTCTGTATAAAGGCTGGTTCTAATTTTCATAGTTATCTTCTAAAATGTGATTTAATTTTTAAACCTTACTTCAGCCGTAATATTCACTTGTGTCACTTCTATACATTTTATGCTGTGATGCCTGTTCTGAAAATCTCTCCACAAATGACAAAGCATTATTTATATTAGAGAAATAACATGAAATGGAATGAGATGTATAAGAGCCATTTAAAATAAGATTTAAAATGAGAATATTTGAAAGAATATATAATCACCATATACATTATATTCCATTTTAAACATTACTTTCCATTGAAATTTTAAACAGAAATAGCTGTATAAATTCATCCACAAGAACGTGCTGATTGATTATAACCATAATGAAAGGGTTTGCAAATAATTACCAACAGAATATAGAAGTAGAGATTATGAAGTCTCATCAAGTCTTCAAAATAACCTCTAAAATTTAATACCTTCAGTAATTTAATAAAAAAATAATCAATACGGTGTTTCTTGACATTTTATATAGAAAATAGAGTGCAGAATCAAAGACAAACTCTTCCTGTGGTCAGGAAAATGGATCGAGTCTTAAACATAAGGTCATATTACACATAAATTATAAAATATATCATGTTTCATTTCAGTTTTTTGAAATCACATTACATAAGACCATACAACAGAGGAGCACCATTTACTCTGAAGTTGTGAGGCTGTGGAGAACACCTGATAAGTTTAAACATAAAATGTTACGGTATGCTTTCAAGGCATTGCAACCGAATTTTTAATGCATGTTCTTCCCTATTGGCTGGTATGGATACCAAATGGATACATACTCATTAACTGTTTCAAATGTTCTGAATCATCCATCTTCCAGCCATTTTAGAAAACTGTGTGTGTGTGTGTGTGTGTGTGTGTGTGGTGAGAAAGAGAGAGAGAGAGAAAGAGAGAATTTAGCAGATTTTGTATTTTTTGTGTTACTATAAAACACATAGAATTGATAAAACAAGGTTTTGTAAATTATAAAGTCAAAACATCATAAGGTACATTTTTTTATTGTGACCAGTTATAAAATATGGAGATAAAGAGTATAAACAGAATGAAAAGATTCCACACATAAATTGAAATGAAATGATAGTATTATAATCTCCCAATGGCCCCTGGGATACTGTACTTTATTACTGGATATCATGAACTAAGAAAGGCCCAGTGGCAAAGGAAGTGGAAATACAAATCAGGTCAACTGACTGATGAAATAAGTGGCTGATTTGCCTCTTGCCAATCATCACAACTTTCAAGAATCTAGAAATCACATTGCTTTATGCATAGTGTGAATACATGTGTAAATCAATCTATCACTAAGACAATATAATGAAAGTACTCAGGTACCACACAACATATTTTTTGTTTTAAATTTTATTTTGCGCAGGAATTATATATATATATATATTTTTAATCACCATGCTTAAGTGTATTGATTTTTTTTCTCAGAATAGTAGTCAAATGGAAAGGAAATTTCCATTAAATAAAATCACTGCCCTTATTGGGAAATCAAGAGCCACAAAAGAAATTATACTATGGCATTCAATATTATTAAAAATTATAATTTCCAGAGTAATTTGCTATTATCTTTTTCACTAAATTTATAGTTTTAGAGAACAGAAAACATTGTTATGCTGTTAATCTCAGACCCATGTATATTAGAATACATCAAATAGTTTCTTTTCCCTCTAAAAATAGGGTTTAGCTAATATTCAAATTATTTTGCATTCCTGAAAATAAGATTTTGGAAGAGATGATTAACGATAGGATTATCTTTTGTTCAGACCATTATTTAGGTATGTATATGATTAACTACAGAGTGTATATTACTTAAAATTTAGGATGAATAAATTTGCATTTCCCATTTTATTTTAATTCTTTCCAAATATTTAAGATACTTTAAATCAGCTGTAATTTTTGTCCCTACATAGAAATATCCAAACTAATTTTGTAAAGATCTTGTTTTTTAGATGTATACAAGGCAACACAAAAGTATCAAATTCAATGATATCTATATCAATAGCCTCAGAAAATGAAGGAAAAAAATAAGATAATCTGATAACTACATTATTTTTCACCTACTGTATGTTTTCCTTACGTTAGACACTTTATTGGCCCTCTCCTTTAAAAAAAAATATATAACATTATAAATTACATCAGTGTTTTTTCCAATTGCCTTCAAAAAAAGAAATTTAGGATGTCAAATTTTCTAGGAGACAACCTTGAAATACAATAAGTTCTTTCCTCTCAGGATTCTATATTTATTGATCTAAACATCAATACTTGTTTTAAAAATGCTTTTGAATAAGTAGCTTTTTTGCTAAAATAGATCATTCATTACTCAGATGATCTTCCCTAGCAATATCAATGGAATTGTAAGAGTAAAGGAGAATGGGGCAGCACATATTTCCTTGAGTTACTCTGCTTCCTTGGGAGCACTGGTCACTCTGGGAGCCTACTCTGGAGACTTCCTTGGTAGGGAGCCTACTCTGGAGCATAGTATAAAAGGAAAGATCAAGGATTATGGAATCCAGGTCAACATACATGCTGCATGTCCTTGGGAAATTACCTACCTTTCTGATCTCATTCATGAAATGAGTAAAGCAATAGCGAGCTTATTAGGTAGTTGTAAGCTGAAAATTAATGCTATGGAATGGATCTTTGTGTTCCCTCTAAAGTCATATTTTGAAGCTTTAACCCCAGTGTGATGGTATTGGGAGGTGGGGCCTTTGGAAAATATTAAGGTTTAGATAAAGTCATGATATTGGGGCCATGTGACAAGATCAGTGGCCTTATGAGAGGAGGACATAGCCAAAATGACACAGCTGTCTGCAAGCCAGGAACTGAAACTGCTTGCACTTGGATATTAGATGTTCCATCTTCCAGAACTATGGGAAATAAGTGTCTATTGATTAAGCCACCCAGTCTATAGTATTTTGTTATGTAATCTGAGCTTACTAAAGCAATGAGGTAATGTTTGGAAAGGATGATTACAGAAGCTCCTTTTCTTGAATTTTATGTTCAGGAACCAAAAAGTAAGTTCGTTAGATTAAATCAGTAAAGTTAAAGGGACTTCATTGAAACTTCTCTAGAAAGAATCATGATATACCACATTCAGGTGGAAGAAACCCACTCTGTATTAGGAATTTTTTATTGCGTCAAGATTTTTGTGGAAAACTCTCCGGGTCTAAAATAAGGTATACTACTTTCATTCTTTTCCATATGTAACACAACTGGAAGGTGTATCTTTTACTTTTGTATTTGGCCTATGCTACTTGGAACTGCAGCTGGGTTCTGAGAAAGATCAAATTCATTGTAAATAGTTTATGGATATGTTTGTGGTTCTGACTATTGGTGAAAGAACACGGCACAGATTAAGATTTGAAAAATAAAAATCTGGGGATAATGTATACTAGAGGAGTAGGCTTCTTTGGTTGATAGTTGGCTGTTTGCTTTTCTACACAGTGTAATTCAGCTTTTTATAAGAGCCCAGACAGTTTATATTTTCTATCATCCCTGCCACATGTTTAGATATAGCCTAGAGTTGGCATGATGAAGTTAGCTCATGGAAAATGAACAAGAAAAAAAAAGGTTAAATTCCAGGAGGTATAAATTCCCAAAGGATACATAATGTATAATTGACCTGTTTCTTGTACAAAAAAAAAAAAAAAAAAACCATAATAGACATGATAATAATGCCTAGAGTCGAGTCCCAGAATGCAATTAAAATCCTGGTATAAATGAATCAGTGCTGCATTTAAACTGATCTATCACCCAGGGAAAAGCCTCAGCCATGGGGAATGTGATTCAGTCACATGGATGGCAATTTCAGACAGCACCTTTAGATATACCCTTTCTTATTCCATTTTTAAGCACATAGAGTTTAAGGGCTGGTTTGAAGCACTTCATACTTCTACAGATATTCAAATGTATAATTCTGAAGGTGAAAATGTGGGACAAAATTGAGATTATAAGATTATACTCTGTATTCCAAGTTACTCACTGTATTGGAGTACCACTTTTTTATAATGGGAAAGGTGATAATGCATGTGGAGCAACACTACTTGACAGTCAATAAACTGCTCTTACTGTTCCATCAACTTAGAACTAAGTTACTAAGAAAGTTCCTGGGAGGACTAGTGGAATATTGTTACTTATCTTGGGGATGTGATCTGTAAATACATGATAATTAAAAAATGCCAACTTTTCAGGGGGAGGTATTATCTCAAACACACACAAGGCAAAAAAAAAAAAAAAAAAAGTGAAATTTCTTTTGAATTCAATAACACTCGGGAAATAATGACCATGGGTTGGATTAAACCTTGGAAAACTCAGAGTAATCATGACCATTTGTAAACATTTTAAGCTAGGGAAGTATGGGCATGTCTACAAATGTTTAATGGTGACTAGAGGCTTGCTATTTTATTTATATCTCAATCCATAAATGATGAAAGCAAGTTGAACAATGTGTGGCTCTAGGTTCTTACCCTGAGCATATTGATACTGGTAGATTCATACCTTGAGCATTTTGCACCTACAGTCTCAGGGTGTCATTTGCACAAAAACGATGGTGCTCCAAAGAAGCAAAAATAGTTGGAGAGATACTTCATGATTTTGCTGTGACTCTGTTAGCATATAAAATTACTCAAAAAAAAATCACTGAGTTCATAGAAAGAGTTGCATGTTCCAATAATTACAAAAACAGGAACAGTTTATTTCCGGTGGAAACAGCTTTTCCTCAAGGAATATCTCTTCTTAAGTGTCCTTTAAAACACATTCAACATTCAGAAGAGACCATTTGCAGCAGACATTTTACAGGGTTGCTTCGGCTCAGCTACACACACACATGCACAGAAGAAAGAGGAACGGAAAGAAAAGACAACTGCTTCCCTCAGAAAAACAAGCACTTTTTCCCCCTGGTGTCATGTCTTTGGATATGTACCGCCTTGGAGAAATGTATAAATCATTTTTATACATGGAACTGCCTTAGAAAACTAGAGATTTTCGTACAAAGAGATCAGTTTGCTGAAAGAATACCCACGTGCCATTGTTCTGAGTTACTGTACATACACGAGAGGAACTTACAAAGGAGCCCTGCTTTACAGTTACTGATGTACACCAGCAGAGCGGGCTTACAACTTCTCCAGGCCTGAGTTACACTTAGTATTACAAATAATATTATAACAATGCTGAAAATACTGATACAAAACAGCTCTAAGATGATATTTCCAAAAAATACCCCTCCTTTTAAAATTGAACTGTTGAATCCAGGTTTTCTTTTTGAACGTTTCAGCTTTAAAAAAGATTTTTCAAGAAAATACTAGTGTTTAAAACATCTCTTAAAATGTCTATTAAATGACAGATTTTCTTAAATAGACTATATTTTTACAAAGCATAATTCAAAAGTCTATCTTTCAGAAAAACAAAACTATAAACTCCAAAAGTCCAAATCAAAAACATTATTTGTGATACATAGTTCTTCCATATCCTGGGAAAAAATCCTTGATTATTTTATCATGCTAATTTATTTACAGACTTCAAATATTCTAGCAACACACACCAACATTCAGGACAAATGAAGCTGAATTCCACAATTAATACTCATAGTTTTTCTATCATTTCTTAAATATTGCCCAGACCAAAATGTATATCTGCGTGAATATTATAGCATCTAAAGTAGAGTGGGAATTTTAGATCACAGTCTCATTCAACCAAGCAAATTTCTGTGTGTATTGTTCTCTTTTGGCAGAATTACAAACACACAAAGAAAACATTTGGCAAACATTTGTCTTGATGCACATGTGTCTTCCTTTGGAAAACCAAAATTAAAAGTAAAACATTTCCACTAGGCTCTTGACTCTTACCAATTCTAATCAAAGTGTAAAAATGGAGCAAAGTTTAATAGTTAGAGCTGGGAGGAAATTTAATGGCTTTTCCCCAAATGATAGAACTTTAATCCATTTTTGTATTAAGAGATGCATTTCATACACAGCTTTAATTTAAGCAGATTAGTCAGATGCCATGCTAAAACTGCTATCTCAATTTCCCTTTATTCATTTCATTTGTACATGCTGATGGAGTCTGTCTGTTAGAGAATGCAAGGGAAACATCATGCAGTAGGTATGACAATTTCAATTTGCAGGGACTATGCCTAATATGGATAAAGTTACTAGCTTTTATTTCTGTATAAGAAAATTGCAGCCCTGATCCTTACTGTTTTAAAACTATTTATTTATTTAGTTCTACAGTTGTGTGCAGCTGTTATTAATTAAACATAAAGGATTTATTTAGATTTATTGGTCATCTCATGTGCACTTATGTACAAAACATATTAGGCCTTGTTTGTTAAAGAGAAATATTTCCCGTGAAATGAGTTTTAAACATTTCTGTTAGAGATTTATTTCTGAGATCAAACTGCCAAATTTCACATATATTTACTTTTTCTTCTAAATCTAGATGACTGAGTTGTCAGAATTGTGTATACTGGGCTACCAAGAAACTGACTTCCTGTTCCTCAACTCATCACATAAAGCAATTGATACATAGTGAGCAAAATTGGACATACATAAAAATAAGTAAAAATGTTAAAAATACAAGGAAAGTGAAATAAAATAGTTTTCTTGGAATGACCCATCCTTCAGATTGAAAAAAAAATGCTGATATTGCCATGACAGTGACTCAGAATATAACATGTCACGCTTTATGCATCATTTGATAGAATTCACCCAACTTTACCACCTCACTGTGTTATGTCCTACTACTTCAACAGCCATAGCAAAACGGAAAGCAAAAATTTTCAAAGATCAGAGCTGTCATTCTCTATTTGGATAGCAATTACTCAGTCTGAAATCCTTTGTGAACCAGTGTGAACTAAACATTTAGAGGATAAAAGAAATAGCCGTATCTCCCTTAAGAGTATGGCAGGATAAGCTTGAATGTATGTAATAGAGAGGCAGACGTATCTCTAGGTTACATGCAAGCAAGCTTCATTCTTCAAATAAATACACATCAAATATAAGACTTTAAAATCCTTCTTTTCTTCTCCTTCTATTAACTATGTAATTTAAAATTCTTTACAGTTCCTTTATCTATTTATTCCTCACGTCTATTTTCACAGTAACACCATTAAGTGAACAGAGTGCTATTTGATATTATTACCTTCTGAAACGTCAATGCATATCAGTGACTGATAAAGATAAATAAACTATGGACTATATAAACCAACAAGATGGTCCCATTTATTATACATATATATAATAAAGTCTTCAAGGCTACCGAACCTAATTCAATTAACATGCCTGAACCCTCATTCTAAAAAAAAAAAAAAAAAGTGCACAATTCTTTGTTTATAACTAAAAATAAGTAAGGATATGACAATTTAAACATGAGCTATGCACGAGAAACACTACCCATCCTTATCCTACCAAGAGACAGGAATAGGGTGATTTAATTATCCATCCTGTTGGCCTAGAGTTTGCAGCTCAGTGGTGTGTAAATTGTGGTGGAGAAAAACATTCTTTCTGCTGTACATGTGTAAAGAGATTGGCCCTCTTGGTGGCTGTCCAAACCTTCCTGTAAAGGTCGAATGCTGTCGGGCCACAGTAGCTTGGTCCTTTGGTTTCTCTGAGAATGTGGAAGGCCCTTCGGTCTTAGCTGTTGGCTTCAGAGAGTTCTGCCCTACGGTGGCTCGTAAATTCTGGGTGACCTCTGATGTGAGGGTTTCATAAGTTCCTCTTGAGTGTTTGATAACTTCCACTAGTTCCTTGTCCTTCAAGAAATTACTTAAACATAGACTTGATAGTTGACAGGTCTTACTTTTGTAGGGGCTTGTCTGATCAGCTGCTGAGTATCTAAAACGGTCCTCGGTGGGAGTATGCATTGCTTTTCTGTCCCTTGTGCTGAGACTTTGGCTCACAATTCGATTTCGATACGTAGCCTACAGTAGACACAGAAAGGAGAAGATGTCTAAAAAAAAAAATCCATTCATAGCATACATAGAATACAGAGTGGTATTTTTACATATGTGTACAAACCCCTAAATTTTCAACAAGGCTTAAAAAAAAAAGAACATAATTCATGAGATTAAATTTCCCAGTGCAATACTGCTACAAATAGTGGTTAAATGGATAATTTACTGTAAAAGACATTTTTAAAATATTTTTGGAGCAGTTTTAGTTTTTTTTTAAATTAATTAATTAATTAATTTATTTTATTCTTATGTTAATCCCCATACATTACATCATTAGTTTTAGATGAAGTGTTCCATGATTCATTGTTTGTGCATAACACCCAGTGCTCCATGCAGAACGTGCCCTCCTCAATACCCACCACCAGGCTAACCCATCCTCCCACCCCCCTCCCCTCTAGAACCCTGTTTGTTTTTCAGAGTCCATCGTCTCTCATGGTTCGTCTACCCCTCGGATTTCCCCCGCTTCATTCTTCCCCTCCCGCTACCTTCTTTTTTTTTTTTCTTAACATATATTGCATTATTTGTTTCAGAGGTACAGATCTGAGATTCAACAGTCTTGCACAATTCACAGCGCTTACCAGAGCACATACCCTCCCCAGTGTCTATCACCCAGTCACCTCATTTCTCCCACTCCACCCCCCACTCCAGCAACCCTCAGTTTGTTTCCTGCAATTAAGAATTCCTCATATCAGTGAGGTCATATGATACATGTCTTTCTCTGTTTGACTTATTTCGCTCAGCATAATACCCTCCAGTTCCATCCACGTCATTGCAAATGGCAAGATCTCATTCCTTTTGATGGCTGCATAATATTCCATTGTATATATATACCACCTCTTCTTTATCCATTCATCTGTCGATGGACATCTTGGCTCTTTCCACAGTTTGGCTATTGTGGACATTGCTGCTATAAACATCGGGGTGCACGTACCCCTTCGGATCCCTACTTTTGTATCTTTGGGGTAAATACCCAGTAGTGCAATGGAGCAGTTTTAGTTTTACAACAAAACTGAGAGGAAGATACAGAGATTTCTCTTACACCATCTGCCCCACACATTCATAACCTCCCACCATTATCAACATCATTCACCAGAATGGTACTTTTTTTTTTTTTTTTTTTTACCAGTGATGAACCTACATTGACATATAATTAAAGTCCATAGTCTACCTTAGGGTTCACTCTATGAGCTGTACCTTCTTTAGTTTGGAACAAATTCATATGACACTTCTCTATTATGATGTCATACAGAATATTTTCACGGCCCTAAAAATCCTATGTGCTCTACTTAATAACCTCTCCCCTTCTCCTCTGATCCCTAGCAACTACTGATCTGTTTATTGTCTCCACGATTTTGCCTTTTTCATAATGTTGTATAGTTGAAATTATACAATATTCATGTAGTCTTTTCCTATTTGGCTTAGTTCACCCAGTAATGCACATCTAAGGTTCCTTCATGTCTTTCTATGGCTTGATAGCTTATTTCTTTTTAGCGTTGAACTAAAAGGCATTTTGAAATTTGTTTTTCTAATTTCCTAATTTGAATTCTATAGTTTTATCTGAGAATACAGATTATTTTACTGCGTAATGCACATCCATATATGAGGCCATTAAATTTTTGTTGGATTTAAAATACTATACTTATTTAAGCATATGCTAAGAGAGTTTTAGAATTACCAATATCATGATTTGTGTCAGCAAAATGGTAACCTAGAAATTTAAGGAACTAAATACAAAGTAACTACAATGACCTAAGGAGAACTATAGAGCACTTAGAAAAATTTCAGCAAGTGTTTAATTTAGACTTTTGGTTATACTTTGTTAATCAGAAAAAATCAGGTCCAAGAGTATATACTCTTGTATACTCTAATAAGAGAAATATATACCTACTCTTGTATACTCTAATGAGAGAAATATATACTCTAATATCTCTAATGTATACTCTGAGAGAAATAAGACATAGCTCATTGAATCATGCTACAAAGAAAGCAAAGAATCACTGACCTCTACCTCTCAAACTAATAATACATTGAATGTTAATTAATTGAAGTTAAGTAAAAGAAAACGAGGGAAGGGGGAAAAATATTTTCCAAAGTTAAAAAAAAAAAAAAAAAAGAAAGCAAAGATTACATGCTGGCACCAGAACTCCTCTTGAAGAGAGCCCTATCTTTGTTTAGAAAAATACAGACATAGAAACTGACAAGTTGTCTTATGGCTCTAGAGGCAAAAAGTGAAAGATTTATTGTTGCAAAGAAGGAGGAAAGAGAAGAGTATAGAGTACACTGTGGCAGTCAACTGATATAAAATGTGCTGAAGGAACCAATGAAAATTTCTGCATACTCGACATCTAGATGGTGTCGTTTTACATATCTATCATTTCATCGTTCCCTAGAAAACCATTTCTCTAAAAGTGATCTCTATTTTGAGCCCCAATTTACTTATCCAGTCATCACTTTGATTAATTAATATATTTGACATAGAACCAAACAAACTTGATTTTGACTCTGAAACCTATTCCCCAAATATCCTTTTTCTCAATAAATGGCACCATTATCAGGCCAACACCGGGAAATTATCTTTGCTTTCTCTCTTTTCCTTATGTCCCTTTAAATCAAGGTCTTACTGCTGTACTGCAAAAATGCAACCTCAAGTCATCCACTTTTCTCATATACACCTTATCTACCTGACCCAGTTCGCTGACACATATTAAGCATTTAAGAACCACTGAAAAAGTTTATCTGCTTAAAATAATAATACATGATATTTATTGAATGTATATTAATGCCAAGCATTCTTCTTATACCCGTACATATTTAATTTTCACAACAGTCTTTTGAGGTACCTTCTATTATTCCTATTGTAGGCATACCTTGGAGATACTGCAGGTTCAATTCCAAACCACTACAATAAAGCTAATACCACAATAAAGCAAGTCAAATGAATTTTTTTGGTTTCCCAGTGCATACAAAAGTTATGTGACACTATACTGTAGTCTATTAAGTGTGCAATAGTGTTATGCCTAAAAAAACAATGTACATGTCTTCATTAAAAATATTTTATTACTAAAAAAATGTTAGCCATCATCTGAGCTTTCCAGGAGTTGTAATTTTTTTTTTTTTTGCTGGTGGAAGGTCTTGTCCTGATGTTGCTGGCTGCTCACTTATCAGGGTGGTGGTTGTTGAAAGCTGGGGTGGCTGTGGCAACTTCTTAAGATAAGGCAATGAAGTTTGTCACCTTGATACACTCTTCCTCTCACAAATGACTTCTCTGTAGCATGTAATGTTGTTTGATAGCATTCTACCCACAGTAGAACTTGTTTCAAAATTGAAGTCAACCCTCTAAAATCCTGCTGCTGCTTTGCCAACTAAGTTCATGTAATATTCTAAATTCTATGCTGTCACTGTAATAATTTCACAGCATCTTCACCAGAAGTAGGTTCCATCCCAAGAAACTTTATTTGCTCATCCATAAGAAGCAACTCCTTATACATTAACGTTTTATCATAAGATTTCAGCAATTCAGTCATATTCTAGTCTCCAGTTCTGATTTTAGCTCTCTTGCTATTTCTACTACATCTGCATTTACTTTCTCCACTGAAGTCTTGAAGCCCTTAATCATCCATGAGGGTTAGAGTCCATTTCTTCCAAATTCCTGTTAATGTTGATTTTTTTACCTCTTGCCATGATTCATGAATATCCTTAATGACATTTGGAATGGTGAATCCTTTCCAGGTTTTCAATTGAGTTTGCCCATATCCATCAGAGGCATCACTCTCGATAGCAGCAGCTATAGATTTACAAGATTTACTTCTTAAATAATAAGACTTGAAAGTTGAAAGGACTTCTTGATCCATGGGCTACAGAATAGGTGTTGTGTTGGCATGCATAATAAAAGCATCAATCTCATTGTATATTTCCCACAAAGCTCTTGAATGATCAGTTGCATTGTCAATGAGGAGTAATATTTCAAAAAGAATCTTTTTTCTGACAGTAGGTCTCAATAGTTGGCTTAAAATATTCACTAAGCCACACTGTAAACAGATGTACCGTCATCCAAGTTTTGTTCCATTTATAGGGCACAGGCAGAATACATTTTTTATGGTTTAAGAGCCCTAGGATTTTCAGATTGGCTTCAATTTAAAGTCACCAGCTGCATTAGCCTCTAACAAGAGAGTCAACCTGTCCTTTGAAGCCAGGCATTGACTTCTCCTCTCTAGCTATGAAAGTCCTAGATGGCATCTTCTTTCAGCAGAACTATTTTGACTACACTGAAAATCTGTTGTTTGGAATAGCTACCTTCATTAATTATCTTAGTTAGAACTTCTGGATAACTTGCTGGAGCTTCTAAGTCAGCACTTGCTGCTCCACCTTGACCTTTGATGTTATAGAGATGGCTTCTTTCCTTAAACTTCATGAACCAGTCTCTGGTAATATCATATTCTTCTTCAGTTTCCTTACCTCTCAGCCTTCATAGAATTGAACAAACTTGGGGCCTTTCTGGGGATTAGGCTTTGGCTTAAGGGAATGTTGTAGCTGGTTTGATCTTCTATCCAGACCACTAAAACTTTCTCCATCTAAGCAATAAGTATATTTCACTTTCTTATCATTCATGTGTTCACTGGGGTAGCACTTTTAATTTCCTTCAAGGACTTTTCCTTTACATTCACAATTTGGCTGTTTGGCCCAAGAGAACAAGCTGTCAGCCTATTTTGGATTTCAACATGTCTTCCTCACTAAGCTTAGTCATTTCTAGCTTTTGGGTTAAAGGTGAGAGATGTGCAACTCTTTCTTTACCTAGACCACTTAGAGGCCATTGTAGTGTTATTGCCATAATTTCAATATTCTTGTGCCGGGGATAGGGAAGCTCAAGGAGAGGGAGAGCGTCAGAGGAGTGGCTGGTTGGTGGAGCAGTCAGAACACACACCACATTTATCAATTGTTTGCCGTCTTCTGTAGTTGCAGTTTGTGGC